TTCTTAGAGCATTTAAACAGCAATTGTAACTTTTTTATCGAAGAACTGCAGTTGAACTTGATGAATTGACAGACGAAAAGCAAAAAGCAGATGCAATAATGTGTCTGGTCTGCCATACTTTATAAGACTTTTCATAACTCCTGCATTTCTCGCTAAAACGAGATAACTTTATTGAAACGGTCGCAGGAAAGTTTACATTTTATTCTTTAGCCTACTCTAAGACGCGGTATGACTTTTTGCTTTGCTCAATATAGGCCCATTTGTTCGCTCCTTGAAGATTCACAAATAGCTCACTTACGCTGTTTCTTGTTTATTCGTGAATTTTTTATGTGCAGTTCTTTTTTTAAATAATAGTATTTTGGGCAAGAAACTAAGAAATTTTTATTACCAGCTTTTTCTAATTCACACTAGCTAATCCATAGTTGACAGGCTAAAGCACATTTACTTCTTTTAAAACCCAGAGCCAAGTTCTTGTTAATAAACGTATCAAAATTGCACGTGTCTTCTTCCATACGCATAAGTTCAACATGCACGACCTAAATAGGAGGATCTTGTTTGTCCTCTTGGACAGTGCTTGTAAGCTGCTACGTTTTCCGGGAAGCGTCTGCTAATGTATCATTGAACAAAAACATCCACGAGATTTAAAACTGCTGGCGTTGGATCCGTGCGTGTCGCCAGCTCATCAAGTATTATGGAGATTATATATATTGGAGTTCAGTGCGTGACGGGTTCTGCACATTGGAGACCAAAACTAGGAGGTATTAGCAGCATCAATCTGTTAGTCTTTTACTTGAGTGTTAGCAGTAATCTTATGCTGAGGGAGAGCCTGCGATAAAAAATTGTTAAAAATAGGCCCGCGTTTTAAGGGTTCATACGCCAAAAATAGCGGTAAATGGGCTTCACCTATTCTGCTCGTGTTTAAACTATGCATGGATGATGGGCTTATTGTATTCAACAAATGAAACAACTCTACTTTCAATTTAACAGCAGCTTCAGCTGTGCACCCAGGATACACTATCGTAGTTTTCACTTCAAACAAAGATAACATTATGTATTTTGCTATGTACAGCCCCTTCTTCTTTAAAAAATTTTACGTTGGACAAGTAAACAATTAATTTTAATAACCGGTCTTTTCTAATTCGCACTAGCAACTTCAAAGCTGACAGGCTAAAGTGCCTTCACTTCGTTTCAAACCTGTAATTACCTTCTATTTGATAAACGCATCAAAACTCCACGTGACTTTTTCTGTACACATAAGGACAACATGCACGACCTTGATAAGAGGAACTCGTTTGTCCTATCGGATATTTCTTGTACAGCTGCTACGTTTTCCGTGAGGCGTCTGCTAATATTTCATTGAACAGAAAAACTCTGACGAGATTTAACGACGCTGGTATTCGATCCTCGCGTGTCGCTAGCCCGTTAAGTATTAAGCAGATTATATACATTACAGCACGGTGCTTGACATGTATAACGTATTGGCAGTCAACCCTGGGGATGATTTGCAGCATTGATCTGTTAACCTTTTGCTCGAATATTAGCCGTAATCCTAAGCTGAGGGAGAGCCTACGATGAGAATAATTAAAATAGGCTCATATTTAATAGGCTCATGGTTCATACGCCAAGAATTGGGGTTAATGGGCTTCATCTATTTTGCTCTATACATGGGTAATCGGCATATTGTGCAAAACACCTGAAGCACATCTGTTTTCAATTAAAGGGCATCCAGGATACATTATCGTATTCACGGATTCAAACGAAAATAAAACTACGTGAGCCCTTAAATGAGATTCATTTTTTCTATCGGCATATTTTCTAAACCCCGATGTATGCATTTTATTTGACTGTGTCAATGGTAAAATTTGGTAAGTATGAAAGATCACTTCATTCTTTTTCTTCAAACTTGGCTGCTAATTTTCAGCTAAAGTCGAGTCAAAGAACACCTTCAGTATGAGGCAAAACTGACATTTTTTCCTACAGCTAACTTAATTTGTTGTCTGTGTTAGCTAGTTCTCGACGCCCTAATAGTGAAAACAACGCCACATGTCTGTAGGTTGCCGAAAGAGGTTCGCAGTTACTTGTCTTCAAACAACAGTGTCTGCGAGATATTTACACCGAAAGCTTTTATTCGGCTGCGCCCCCACTCATCCTCTCAGCTGCTGACACGCACTTTACTGAATACCAATTTGAAGCACAGCCTTGTCAGCCTTCGTAAATATTTATCGGGACGAAGCTTCTGACAAGCCAAAGTAAGTAAGTGACTTTTGTTATGGCTTGCTTAAAAAACACTAATGGTGTTTTCGAGAAAGAGTTCTATTATCAACTGAGATGCAGGTGTCCATCAGGGCAGGTGAATAATAACCACCCGCTACAGCAGCGAGTCGCTACTAATGTGCATTTCTGCGATAGCTAGAGGAGTCCTTATGCGTTACCGTTTTTGCCCACCTTCGCGTAAACTCTGCACAGCTGGTTGCTGTTTGCAGGGCTGGCTGCGCAGCATCCAATCAAAAGTTTAGGAAGCCAGCAAGCCAGACTGTCCAAACAAGCACACTGGTAGCCCAGGGGTAGTAATGGAGGCGGGATTCAAAAAGGTTTGCTGCCCAGCCACCCTTATAAAAGTCAGCC